CGAGGGTGGAATTGAACCCCGGCCCCTGGTGCTGTGAGGCAGCAGGGCTGATCACTGAGCCACCGTGCCATCATAGAGCCATATAGCACGGAAACGGACCCTTCAGTGCAACTCATCAATGCTGACCAGGTTTCACAGACTGAGCTAGTCCCACTTGCTTGCATTTGGACCATATCCCTATAAACCCTTCCTATTCATGTACCTGTCCAAATGTCTTTCAAATGTTGTAACTGTACCTGCATTGACCACTTCATTTTGCAGGTCATTCTGCGTACAAAGCACCTTCTGTGTGAAAAAGTTGCCCTCTCAGGTCCCTTTTAAATCTTTCTCCTCTTCCCTTAAAAATATGCCCCCTAAATCTGAAATCTCCCACCCTAGGGAAAAGACATCTGCTATTCACCTTATCAAGCCCCTCATGATTTTATAAACTTCTACAAAGTGACCCCTCAACCTCCTAAACATCAGTGGAAATGTTCCAGCCTCTTCTTATAACTCAGATCCTCCAGTCCAGGCAACATCCTGGTAAATCTTTTCTGAACCCTTTCCAATTAATAATATACTTTCTGTCGCAAGGTGACCAGAACTGTGCACAGTACTGTGAAATTGGTATTACCAACATCCTGTACAACCTCAACATGACATCCCAACTCCAATACTGAATGGTCTGAGCAATAAAGGCAAGCATGCAAAATGCCTTCTTACCCACCCTGTCTACCTGTGATGCAACTTTCAAAGAACTCTGTACCTGAGCCGTTAGGTCTCTATTCGACAACACTACCAAGGGCCCTACCATTAATTGAATGAGTCCTGCCCTTGTTTTACCAAAATGCAATACCTCGTATTTATCCAAATTAAACTCCATCTGCCACGCCTCAGCCTATTGGCCCAATTGAATAAGATCCCTTTGTAATCTTTGATAACCACCTTCACTATCCACTATACCATAAATTTTGTTTTCATCTGCAGACTTACTAACCGTGCCTCCTAAATTCTCAACCAAATCGTTTATATAAATGACAAACAAAAGTGGACACTGGTGACAGGCCTCCAGACCAAAAAACAATCCTCTACCACCACTCTCTATCTCCTACTGTAAAGGCAATTTTGTATACAATTGGCAAGCTCGCCCTGAATCCCATGTGATCTAACTTTACTAATTAGTCGACCATGCAGAACCCTGTCAAAGGCTTTACTAAAGCCTATGTAGGCAATGTCTACTGCCCTGTTCTCATCCATCTTCTTGGTTGTAACCTCAAAAAGCTCAATCAAGTTTCTGAGACATGATTTCCCACATGCAAAGCCATGCTGACCATCAGTCCTTGCCTCTCCAAATGCATGTAAATCCTATCTGTCAGAAGCCCCTCTCGCTAGTTACCCACCACCAATGTCAGATTCACAGATGTATAGTTCTTAGGCTTCTCCATAAAACCTTTCTTAAATAAGGGCGCAACATTAGCCACCCTCCAGTCCTCCGGCACCTCACCCGTGGCTATAGATGATACAAATATCTCTGCTAGGTTCTTCGCAACTTCTTCCCTAACTTCCCACAATGTCTTGGGACAAAATTTGATAAGGTCCCAGAGATTTATCTGCCTTTGTTTTTTAAGGCCTTCAGCACTTCCTGTCCAATAATGCAGCCTGTTTCCAAGACATAAATATTCATCTCCAAAGTTCCCTAGCCTCATTTCTTTCTCCACAGTAAAAGCTGATGCAAAATATTCATTTAGCATCTCTCCCATTCCCTCTGGTTCTACACATAAACAGCCTTGCTGATCTTTAGGGAGCCCTATTCTCTTCCTAGTTGCTCTTTTGCTCTTAATGTACTTATAGAATCTCTTTGAATTATCATTAAACTTATCTGCAAGGCTATCTCATATCGCTTTTTTAAATTTATTAATTTGTGGGATGTAGGCATTAGTGGCTGGCCAGCATTTATTGCCCATCCCTAGCTGCTATTGAGAAGGGGGTGGTGAGCTGTCTTCTCAAACTGCTGCAGTCTACCTGCTGTGGGTTGATGCCCAATGCCCTTAGGGAGGAAATTCCAGAATTTTGACTCAGCAACACTGAAGGAACGGCGATATATTTCCAAGTCAGGTTGGTGAGTGGCTTGGAGAGGAACTTGCAGGTAGTGGTGTTCCCAAGTATCTGCTGCCCTGTCCTTCTAGATGGAAATGGTAGTGGGTTTGGAAGGTGCAGCCTGAGGATCTTTGGTAAATTTCTGCAGTGCATCTTGTAGATAGTAGCAGTAGTGTGTACTGAGTATTGGTTAGTGGGAGTGGATGCTTGTGAGTATAGTGCCAATCAAGTTGGTTGCTTTGTCCTGGATGGTGTCAAGCTTTGAGTGTTGTTGGAATACCAGGCCCCCAGCAATTCCCTGGCATGTCTCTGTTTGGCTTGTGCGATTACAGATGGGTTGTCCCAGTCGAATTCGTCTCCCTCATTGTCCGTGTGTAGTGAGACAAGTGAGAATTGGTCGTGCCTCTTGGTGGCTAGTTGGTGTTTGCATATCCGTATCGTCAGTTTTTAATTCAAAAGGAATGGATACTCGAAAAGCACAATCCACTGTTACCTCTGAGACAGACCACAACAAGAAGACGCAGCACGACCAGACTCGCTTATCACCCTACCATATATCAAGAACATTTCAGAGATGACCATAAGACTACTCAGACCCCTAGGTACCAGGGTAGCCCACAAACCAACAACCAACCTACGACAGCTACTGACGAATGTAAAGGACCCCACTGCCACAACCAATAAAACTAATGTAATATACAAAATAACATGCAAGGACTGTGAGAAATACCACATAGGCCAAGCTGGGAGAAAACTGGCAATATGGATACATGAACATTATCTAGCCACCAAGAAACACGACCAATTCTCACTTGTCTCACTACACACGGACAACAAGGGACACAAATTTGACTGGGACGACACATCCATAATCGCACAAGCCGAACAGTGGCACGCCAGGGAATTCCTGGAGGCCTGGTATTCTAACCAGAACTCTACCAACAAACACATTGAATTAGACCTTGTGTACAAACCACTGAGAAACAGAACTGGAAGTGGTACCAAACACCCCAACAAACTGAGGCATTTAAATAACAAGCGGGACAGGACACCAACGCTTCACTAGAGGCACACTGACAATGTGACCTAGCAGGGTGAAAAAATGTTTGCAAACAAACCCACTGGCTCAGCGAGCATGTCTACAACCTCAGAGAAACAGATTTAACATTGCTAGTCCGGCATGACTCGTCTTTAGAATTCCACACTGGAAATATTAACAGTTTTTCTCTCCCCACAGGTACTGCCAGATTTGCTGAGTTTCTCTAGCATTTTCTGTGTTTATTTCAGATTTGCAGCATCAGCAGCATTTTGTTTTCATATAAATATTCCTTGAAACTACTTCAAGAGCATGGAGTGGCACGGTGGCTCAGTGGTTAGCACTGCTGCCTCACAGTGCCAGGGCCCTGGGTTCTATTTCACCCTCGGGAGACTGTCTGTGTGGAGTTTGCACATTCTGTCATGTTTGTGTGGGTTTCCTCCGGGTGCTCCGGTTTCCTCCCACAGTACAAAGATGTGCAAGTTAGGTGGTTTGGCCATGCTAAGTTGTCTGTAATGCTCAGGGCGGTGTAGGTTAGGTGCATTAGCCACAGAAAATGCAGGGTTTCAGGGATGGGTCTGGGTGGGATGTTCTTCGGAGAATCGGTATGGACTTGTTGGGCTGAATGGCCTGTCTCCATACTGTGGGGATTCTATGATTCTGTGAGCAAAGAAGTTATCCCTTGTGTCTTGGACAATATTCATCCATCAAACAACATCACAAGAACAAATTATCTGGTTATTATTCCAATGATGCTTTTGTACACATTGGTAATAGTGACTGCACTTCAAATATACTTCATTGTCTGTAAGGCACTTTGAGATGTCTGGCGATCCTGAAAGACACTAAAGTCATAGTGATCTACAGCACAGAAAAAGACCTTTCGGTCTATCATACCCAGAACGGTCAAAAATAGCCACAACTATACTGTGTAGAGCATTTGCACTCTGTACGTGATAAACAATAATACCTTCCGGTCGCAAACTATTTTAACTCCCCCTCCCACACCCTGGGTGACATGTCCATCCTGGGCCTCCTTCAGTGTCACAATGATGCCACCCGCAAACAGAAGGAGCAGCACCTCATATTCCACCTCGGGAGCCTACAGCCCAATGGCCTAAACATGGATTTTACCAGTTTCAAGTCTCCCCACCCCGGCCTCGCCCCATGATCAACCCTCCCTCTCATCCCCGTCTCCTTGACCTGACACAACCTGTCCATCTTTTCTCCCACCAATTCACCATTCCCACCTCACTGACCAATCCCCACCACTGCCTACCTGCACTCACCAATCACTATCCCATCTATCTTCCCCAGCCTCACCCCTCCTCTCTCTGTTTATTTCTGAGCTCTTCTTCCCTTCCCCATTTCTGAAGAAGGGTCCCAACTCGAAACATCAACATTCAAACTGAAACCGCCTGGCCTCCTGTATTCCTCCAGCTCCACACTGTGTTGTCTCTGACTTCCAGCATCTGCAGTTCTTGCTATCTCACAACTATACTTTTTAGTACTTGGCCCATAACCTTGTATGCTTGGCATTGCAAGTGCACAACTGAATACTCCTTAAATGTAAAAAGGCCTCTATCGCCCTTACAGGCAATGACTATATTAATGCAAATCTTTCTTTTAACATATGAATGGCTCTGTATTCACTGCAGCTTCTGTACAGATAATTTAGTGCCATACATGGTGCACCTTACTTCAAATTAATAGGTCAGTTTTTCTCTTGAAAAGAAATGTTGTTTAGTGACCTGCAAATGTTGATATGTTCCCACCCTATAAATAGATTGAAACAAATAATTTTGGAGAAAACCGTAACTGTCATAGTATGTCGTGCGTTGCCCTGGTTTATCTCAGTCATTACAAACATTTTTATTGTTCTGTGCAGCTGCTTCACATCTGTATTGAGGGCTGGGGAAACTGGCGCTGGTCCGAGCCATTCAGTGTGGACAACATAGGCACATTTGTTAGAAGTATCCAGTACAAGGGCAGAACAGCATCACTGATCATCAAAGTGCAGCCACTTAACAGTGTGCAAAAACAAGTAAGTTTCTTTCATGTGGTTGAGTATGAAGGCCAACCATTTTCTTTATGTATTCTAACCCTTTAAATACAGAAGAGAGATGTTGAAGTTTGTGGTCTGTAAATATGTTTTCCATCTTATTATGCTTTTGAGAAGATCTGCCTTTAAAAGCTGAAGCTAAATATTTAAACATGGGAGAAACAAAAAGTATATATTTTTTGAATAAAGGCTCAAATAAGAGATGCCTTTTAAAAGATGCTGCACAGTTCTGCTAATCGTTTAAACATTAGTTGCTGCATTTACTTACACTGACTCCACATGATCTAATAATATCTGTGGAGAATGTCTTAGAAGTATAGAGTAGTTACAGCATAGAATCTCATGGTGAGAATTCTGAGTTTAAGCTCTTTGTTGTTGACTTGTCAACCAGTAGGTCAATGTTTCATCATTTGTCCTTTCAAAAACCTTTGGAAATTTGAAGTTAGGCTCCCATTTGATCTGTTGTTCAGTTTAAAAAGGCTCGAGTGCATTTTAAATTGTTTCTTCACAGCTATATCCTCTTCTTGAAGTAATCCTTATTGGATCCTTCCTGATGATCCATTGTCTTTCCCATACTGGGATGCACACAGCATGCATATTATGCAGAACAGCACTCCTGAGAGCAGAGAAAGCCAAACAACTATTTGATAAGTGTGTTGAAAATGTCGAAGGATATTGGCAGATAAAAGGCAACATGGGGATTTTTTAATTCTCTCATGACAGGAGAGTCAATAGCCAGTGGACATCAATTTAAGATAATTAGCAAAAGAACCAGAACTGAGACAAGAATTTTTTTGCAGCAAAGTTATCATTTGATATGGGTAAAAGAAATGCAGACTCAATAATTGCGTTCAAAAGGAAATTGGATAAATACTAGGGTTGAGGGGGGAACATTTGCAGGCAGAAGGCAAGTGAATGGAGTTAATTAGATAACTGTTTCAAATAGATGACACAGGCACAGAGGGCCAAATGGCCTGCTCCTATGCTGAGATTCTGTGCTTCATTAAAATCTGAAGAAATCTGCAAAATAAGCAATATTTTCAGTATCAATGTTTAAATACTTAAGCTTGATTTATAATCCAATGTTTAAATGCAGTGCTAACAATATAGTTAGAATCTGGCTTAGTACCTTGTGCACAACACACAGGTATGATTGCGGTATTTTCAAAATAATCCGTGTGTATTTGAAAGTCTATGAAGCGTATGATTATTATGTGCAATATTATCCTCTGTAAATATGAAGAGTTTTGTTTATTTCTGCTGGTTATTCTTCAACCCACATGTGCAAGAACCCAATATTGGCAATACTGTTTCCTCTCAGATAATTATTTGTGGAAGACAAGCTATTTGCAGTTACTTAAACCTGGACGTGGAACTGAAGGTGGTGCAGCATTGCAGTGGGCAGGATGGACGCGAGTCGATCAAGGAACATCTTTGCTGTTTGCCACTGAATCAAAAGATACCATCTTTTGTTCTTGAGAACACGGAATTCACTGAGTTGTGCATCAGGGTTATGGGAAATGACACAGACTGGTCACCAGATGTGCGCCTAGAGACTCTTCAGTCTGAAGACAGCACCGTTATTCAGGTACTGAAATCACTTGGACAGCTGGAATTGAACTTAGTTGCAGTATTAACTCATCCATCCCCTCTATCCTGCTTCCCCATTCAGTCAGATTGTGCATAAACTGTACCTTAGCACCTGCTTTATTTCTATCATCCTTAATACCCTTGCCTAAAGATAATCTATCAACTTTAGTTTTTAAAGTTTTTGCTGGTTTTCTCCTTCCATCCCTAAAAAGCCTCAACAGCCCTCAAGAGGGAGAGAGTTTCAGATTTCAGTCTTTGTATGAAAATATGCTTCCTGACGTCATCCTGAATAACCTGGCTGTAATGTGTTCTGTACTCCCACATTGGAGGAAATTGTTCCTCACGATCCCACCCTCTCATCTCCATTAGTCATTTTCAAGACCTCAATTGTTTCTTAAGAATGTGTTCTCTTGTGGGGAAGAGCATAACTAGACACTGCCAACGTACAATTGTCACCAAAATATCCAACAGGGAATTCAGAAGAAATGCCTTTGGCCAAAGGGCAGTGAGGATGTGAAACTCGCTCCCGCAAGAAGTGGTTGAAGTGAATAGTATAGGCACATTAAAGGGAAACTGGACAACCGTTTAAGAGAGATGATGAAATAAGAGACTCAAATGGAGCATAAATGATAGCAATGCACTAGTTGATCAAATGGCCTTCTTTCTGCACGTATATTTTATGTAAACCATTGGATCATCCACTAACCTTCAACATTGAAGGGAAAACAAGTCCAGCCTGTAGCACCCAGCCCTGCCGGGTCTTCACCATTCCCCCAGACCTCCCCCTTACTGAGGATGAACGGTCAGTCCTCAGTAAAGGACTCAGCTTTGCCCCCCTCCACCCAAACATCGACGAATACAACTTACGTTTGGACAGTGAGCAGTTTTTCCGCCGCCACCTCCGCGCTTACTTCTTCAACTGTGAACCTAACCCTCCCCCTTACTGACCCCTTCTCCCGCCTCCAACACACCCCCTCCACCTGGACACCACCTCAAGGCCTCCTACCCTCCCTCAACCTCTTCATCTCTAACTGCCGTCGAGACATCGATCGCCTCAACCTCTCCACCCCTCTCACCCACTCCAACCTCTCCCCCACAGAACGTGCAGCCCTCCGCTCCAATTCCAATCTCACCATAAAACCCGCAGACAAGGGAGGTGCAGTTTAGCATGGCGCACTGACCTCTACATCGCCGAGGCCAGATGCCAGCTCTCTGACACCTCCTCCTACCGCCCCCTTGATCATGACCCCACCCCCGACCACCAAACCATCATCTCCTAAACCATCCACAACCTCATCACCTCAGGTGACCTCCCACCCACAGCCTCTAACCTCATCGTTACCCAACCCTGCACCACCCGCTTCTATCTCCTTCCCAAAATCCACAAACCTGAATGCCCTGGTCGACCCATTGTCTCCACCTACTCCTGCCCCACCGAACTTATCTCCCACTATCTCGACTCCATTTTCTCCCCCTTGGTCCAGGAACTCCCTACCTACGTCCGTGACACCAGCCACGCCTTCCACCTCCTCCAAAACTTCCAATTCCCCGGTCCCCAACACCTCATCTTTACCATGGACATCCAGTCCGTATGCACCTGCATTCCCCATGCAGATGGCCTAAAGGCCCTCTGCTTCTTCCTGTCCCGCAGGCCCGACCAGTCCCCCTCCACTGACACCCTCATCCGCTTGGCTGAACTTGTCCTCACCGTCAACAACTTCTCTTTCAATTCCTCCCACTTCCTACAAAGGGGGTGGCCATGGGTACCCGCATGGGCCCAAGCTATGCCTGCCTCTTCATAAGATACGTGGAACAATCCCTCTTCCAAAGCTACACTGGCCCTAAATCCCACCTCTTCCTCCATTACATCGATGACTGTATCAGCGCCGCCTCTTGCTCCCATGAGGAGCTTAAACAGTTCATCCACTTCACTAACACCTTCCACCCCAACCTTAAGTTCACCTGGACCATCTCTGATACCTCTCTCTCCTTCCTGGACCTCTCTGTCTCCATCTCTGGCATCCACCTGGAAATCGATATCCATTTCAAGCCTACCAACTCCCACAGCTACCTAGAATACACCTCCTCTCACCCACCTTCCTGCAAAAAGGCCATCCTCTATTCCCAATTCCTTCACCTCCGCCGCATCTGCTCCCAGGATGAGGCATTCCACTCCCGGACATCCCAGATGTCCTCGTTTTTCAAGGACCGCAACTTCCCCTCCACAGTGGTCGAAAATGCCCTCGACTGTGTCTCTCACATTTCCCGCAACTCATCCCTCACACCCCCTCCTCGCAATAACAACCAAAACAGGATCCCCCTCGTCCTCACATACCATCCCACCAACCTCCGGATCCAACGCATCATCCTCTGCCACTTCCGCCATCTGCAATCCGACCCCACCACCAGAGACATCTTTCCCTCCCCACCCTTATCTGCTTTCCAGAGGGACCACTCTCTCCGTGACTCCCTTGTCGGCTCCACACTCCCCTCCAGCCCCACCACCCCCGGCACTTTTCCCTGCAACCGCAGGAAGTGCTACACCTGCCCCTATTTGTCCCCCCTCACCCCCATCCTATGCCCTAAGAAGACCTTCCACATCAAACAGATGTTCACCTGCACATCTGCTAATGTGGTATACTGTATCCACTGTTCCCGTTGTGGCCTCCTCTACATCGGGGAAACCAAGCGGAGGCTCGGGGACCGCTTTGCAGAACATCTACGCTCAGTTCGCAACAAACAACTATACCTCCCAGTCACGAACCATTTCAACTCCCCCTCCCATTCCTCAGACGACATGTCCATCCTGGGCCTCCTGCATTGCCGCAATGATGCCACCCGAAAACTTCAGGAACAGCATCTCATATTCCGCTTGGGAACCCTGCAGCCCAATGGTATCAATGTGGACTTCACAAGCTTCAAAATCTCCCCTCCCCCGACCACATTTCAAAACCAGCCCAGTTTGTCCCCGCCTCCCTAACCTGTCCTTCCTCCCACCTCAAGCCCCACCCCCATCTCCTACCTGCTAACCTCATCCCGCCCCCTTGACCTGTCCGTCCTCCCTGGACCGACCTATCCCCTCCCTAACTCCCCACTTACGTTCACCTTTACTGGCTCCAACCCCGCCTCTTTGACCTGTCAGTCTCCTCTCCACCTATCTTCTCCTTTATCCATCTTCTATCTGCCTCCCCCTCTCTCCCTATTTATTTCAGAATCCCCTTCCCCTCCCCCATTTCTGAGGAAGGGTCTCGACCCGAAACATCAGCCTTCCTGCTCCTATGATGCTGCTTGGCCTGCTGTGTTCATCTAGCTCTACACCGTGTTATCCCAGCCTATACAAGCTGTCCTCATAATTAAAACATTTTCGCTCTTGTATCTTTGTGAATTGTTGGGTGTGTGGGTGTTGCTTATGAATTTGTAACGTTGAGCAGTGTTAATACGATACTGATTTCATTTTCAAGCATGTGTGAACACCCAGGAGATATGTTACCTGCTGTGAAGAGAGTAAGCAGTACAATGTATATGTACTCTTAATCACACAAGATTCTCCTTATGTTTAATTATGAAGTTCAAAAAGTTGACAACTCCCCATTACTTATTTTAAGCTTTTATAAAATTAAAGCCTGTACTGCTTTTAACACAGTGTTCAACTGGAACTGATATAGATCTAGACCATACAGTGCATTCATCAGTCTCTTCCTCATTTGACCTGTGTGCTTGGCCCAGTAACTAAGTGTTAAGTGAGACAAGTTTATCCTTTGTACTGAATGTTTTTGAACTAGTGCAAGACAAGGGACCCAAAATGTCAACTTTCCTGCTCCTCTGATGCTGCCTGACCTGCTGTGTTCCTCCAGCTCCACACTGTGTTGACAAGAATGACTTTGCACCAGCATAGATGATGAAGTTGGCCCATAATACACCAATCAAGATGACTTCGCAAAGTTTGGAACTGAGTTAAATTCACTCTTGCCTCAAAGAGTATCCAGTCCGTAAAAAGAGAAAAATAGAATGAGCTTCAAATTGTCAAGTGGAAATCTGTTTGATTTTTATTTTTACTGCATGGGTTCCTTCAAATAATTAACTCTTTGTTGTGGATCACTGCAGGTTCCCAATTCAAATGGCTCCATGTTGCATGTGTGGTGTACTTGTCTGAACCTGGATGTCAAATCCCCTGTACAACAGAGAGTGGTGAGTGTGCTACTCTTTTTCAGCATTTCCAGAGCTCTGGTACTAACTAACAACAGTTCTGTCACATTTATTCACTCCCCTAAATGCCATTCTGCCAGAACTAGAAAGTTCAGATGTGTAGAGTTAAGGTGAGGGGTTCATTGGGATAATACTGTGCTGCCCTCCAAGTCAGAAGGCACACTAAAGGAGTATGGAGCAATTAAGTCATTGTAATCATCTAGCAAGTGGACTATCACGTGTAGAAGTGTAAAATTGTTGATTTCAGTAGGAAGCATAGAAAAAGAGGATATTATCCTACGTAAGACCACACCTACATCTGTGTACAGATTTGGTCTCCTTACCTTAGAAAGAAAATACACTTGCTTTAAGGATGTGTGTCCATTACTAGATGGATTCCTGGTGTGAGATGATTTTCCTATGTGATGAGATTCAGTAAAGTAGGTCTATATTCTGGAAATACAGCCTGTGGAGGCATGTAATCCCCAGCTCATTGTCTCAGGATAAAGGAGCTACCATTTAGGATTGAGGTGGGGAACAATTGTTTCTCTCTGAATATTGTGAGTCTTTGAAATTCAGTTGTGAAAGCTTGGTCAAGGAGAATTAAAAGCTGGGACCGATAAATCGTTGGCAGTAGGCGAATCAAAGTATAGAAGGGTTAGGTTTTAAAGGAGCTCATTTAGATGCCCAGCAAAGATCAAACATTTGGAGTTCTGTATTAAGTCATTGTAATCATCTAGCAAGTGGACTATCACATGTGGAAGTGTAAAATTGTTGACTTCAGTAGGAAGCATAGAAAAAGAGGCTACCGAGTTACAAAAAGAGCCAGACTGGATTTGAAATGTTAACTCTGTTTCTCTCTCTTCACAGATACTGCCAGACCTGCTGAGTTTCACCAGCAGTTTGTTTTTATTTAATTCATATCACCAACATCTACAGGACTTTGCTTTTATTTCAGCAAAGGACTCATTGACTGGCAGAGCATACACAATGGCCACATTGCATATTCGTGCTCTAAGTTCTTACACTCTTGCGTTTTACAACTGCTTGAGTACGGTTTCTCCTTAGCATCTCTTTTTTCCAAGACACTCCTTAAAACCTGCCCCTTTTTGCAAATGTTTGGTCTACTGCTCAGTGTCAAGTTTGATAGCTCTCTTCTGAAGTACCTTGGAATGGTTTACAATGTTAAAGATGCTCTATAAATGCGATTTCATGTGGTATCATCGATAAGATTGGAACTGCCTCCAAGACGGATCAAATCTGCAGGAGTATATTTTGTACTTGGGAAAGTATGGCATAACATTATTTTACTTTTCAAACCACAATGTTGTTCTTCCCTGCCCTCCCCTTGCCCTTGCCCTTCTGTCTACTGACAAACTTATTTTTGTAGCAAAGGCACGTTAGGTTTCTTGTGTTTGAATTGCAGCTGTTTCTCAGCCCTTTGTTTGTCATGAGGAGCCATCTCCCTGATCCCATTATTCTACACGTCGAGAGGCGAAGTTTGGGTTTGAAAGATCCACAAGTCATTGCTGGAAAGGGGCAGGAAGATCCCCTTCAGAATGTTGAACCAGAAGTCGTGCACCATTTGACATTTCAAGCAAGGTAACCATAAAATTCTTGCCAGTGACAATCAATGACCACTTCTTCACCTTGTTCCAGACATTCTAATGTATGCTTACAATGTGCTTTGAACCTACTTTTTGAATTCTCAGTCTGAAATACTTGCCTATGTGTAGTGGTATTTCTAAAGGGTATAATTAGTGGTAAATTGTTATGTTTGCCTACATTGTACATTTTGTACTCTGATGTAAATTAAAGCATCAGTAGGGAAGGGTGGGAAATGTACTGCTTCTGTCGTCATTCCTGTATTTTGGTCAGCAGATATACTGATGTAAACTGTTATGTGACTTGGCATGTTGGGCAGGTTGGCAGAAAGTGAAGCAGTCAAATGGAAAGAAAGAAAGGGTTGCTTTTTCTCGAGGGTCATTTGTGGCCTCAGGTCATCCCCAAGTGCTTGACAACCAATGAAGTATTTTTGAATTGTAGTAAGTGTAGAAAAACTGGCTGCCAAATTGTTCATAGCAGGTCTTGAAAACAGCCATACGCAAAGAACAGCCTCTCAGTTTTAGTAGTGCAACTTGAAGTAGTCCTGTTTCTGAAGCTTAATTCAATTTACATCTGTGAGTAATGTAGTAAAAACAAAATCAAGGTGTGGTAGACACCCTTTGTAATGCAGGTCAACCAAGGCAAATAGAATGATAGGAGGCACTTGTTCAAGATACTGCCTCTGTCAAAATTGTTTGGAATTCTCTACCACAGAAAGCTGTTGGGGCCAGTTCTTTAGATATTTCAAGAGAGAGCTAGGTGTGGCCCTTGTGGCTAAAGGGATCAAGGGGTGTGGAGAGAAAGTGGGAGTGAGATGCTGAAGTTGCATGATCAGCCATGTTCATATTGAATGCAGGCTTAAAGGGCTGAATGGCCTCCTCTTGAACTTATCTTCTAAGTTTCTGTGTTTCCGTAGGCTGGGTTTTGCAGGGTGCTCTGGTCCTTGACACCCCCTGCAGCCCAGCTAAGAGGGTGGAGAGGGAGAATCTGTCTGGTATCTAGACAGCTGCCCCATAGCGATTGAATGCCGGGAGCAGCATTAATTGCTTAGCAGTGAGAATCCCATCTCATTTGAGGACGATGTCAAGCAACTGGAGGTCCTGCAGCTGGGTTATTATAAGAGAACCAACTGCGAGCAGTGGCCAGTGCCCTGCACCATGGGCACTGCCACCCTGCTGAGGAGGCCAAGTGAGTCAGAGATCACAGTGAGGGGAGTAAGATGGATGGGGGCCTAAGCTCAAGTGGATGCATTTGGTTAATTATCTTGTCAAGGGTGCCCCACGATGAGCCCAAGTGTTGTTTGCACCCCGCCTTGCATTACACCACTGCATTTCCCATGAGGTCTAGGTCTCCCTCAGCTGTAGGTAAAGTTCCAGCAGGGATAGGATGAAGCCCTTAACCAGCTGTCTTAAGAGTTCTTGTGTTCCTCAAGGGCAGGCAGACAGCCCCACCCCCACACGTCCTCGCAAAATTTCAGACAGGTCAGGACGAGTGGGTAGATGATGGAAAGGCTGGCTGATGGATTTTACATCAATCACCAACACCACCACACCCCCAGCCCCCTTCCCAGCTACCCCCTACCTTCAAATTGATTGCTAGGGAGCCTGAGATCCATTCCCATGTGACAGATCCACTTTTATGCAGATTGTATTGATATAGGATGGTGAAATATGCATACCGCATGTTACAGAATCGTGGAATTATATAACACATAAGGAAAGCATCCTTCCCATTACATTCCAAATCAACATAACTCACTGAATTAGAAAAACAAAGCTCCTCATTTGTCCTCTGTTTCTTTTGCTAATTGTTCTTAAGTCCTCGAGTCACTGATTGCCATGCCACTAGAGACAAGCTCTGCCTAATTACGCCATCAAAACCACTCATGATTTTTGCACACTGTTATCAAATCCACCACCCCCATTGCCTTCCCTCCTCCAAGGAGAACATTCCTGGCTTCTCACATAACAGAATTCTCTCATCCCTACACTGTACCTCACTAAACTCTTGAAATTCTTTATAAAGCATGTGAAGAGGCTTTCTTCTTCATTTGTTGATGCGATGTGGGCATTGCTGGCAAAGCTGGCATTTGTTGTTGTTGCAGAGTTGGTGTAGTACTTATGGATTGGAAGGCAGGACGTTAGAAGTTGTCTGTAAAATGATGGAGGGGGAAGAGTGCGTGGTCCCTTTAAAAGGTGTGTTTTTTAGGCTTGGAAATGAAAAGAACTGCAGGCAGCAGCAGATGCACAGAGAATTCTTGAAATTGAAGCATTATATCAAAAGGCTACACTGTTAGTAGGCAAAACAGCATTTTTACCAAAGTTTTTGAATTTAGCCAATTAATTTAAACCAGGCCCTAGACACCAAAGTCCAATTAAATTTAAATCTGATAGTTTTGACAATCTCGGACCAATTCTATTGTAAGAAATTAATAGGTCATCAAGGGTATAAAAGAAGAGAACATTTAAAAATTGGTGTGAGAGCCAACTGCCATCTGTTAAGAGAACAGCTCTCAACAGCCATCGGCTCTAAGGAGAGATAAAATCACTGGCTCTCACAGAAATCTCTAAGATCTCGAAGTAAGCACTATCTAAATAAAGGTACCACAGCACTTGTAACTAATATTCCTGACACAAGAATTTGACAGAGAAGCATTCCTGACTGGAGCACAGCGGAGAAGGCAAAGAATATTCCAGAAGACTTATCTTGTCTATAATTTTGAGAGATTCAGCTTTGATTTATTTTAATTAATTTGGTTTATGTAAGTGTAACTTACATCTATGGGAACAGCATACCATTAAAATTTTGTTTCATTTGGAAATATTTAGTAGTTAAGGAGGCATTGTTTGGTTTGTTAGTAGTTCTGCTAATTTGTTTACTGTTACAGTTAAATAAATTGTTACTTGTTGATTGGAGAGTGAATGAAAGGATTTCATTTCATTTAACCTCCTATCCCTGACAGTTGTTCAGTCCTAATTACCCTTGTCGAGGTGGTGGTGAGCAGCTTTCTCAAACTTCAGTCAATGTTGTGTGCCAATAATGCAGTTAGAGCGGGAGTTCCTGGATTTTGATCTAGCAACAGGGAAAGATGGTATCTGACTTGGTGGGAACTTGCAGGTGTTGCTGTTCCCGTGCATCGACTGTCCTTTGTCCTGGATGGGAGAGGTTGTGAGTTTAAAAAGTGTTGTAAAAGGAACCTTTGTAAATTACTTCACTGCATTTTGTAGATGCCATACACTGTCAGTGGTGGAGGGAGTGACTATTGAAGGTGGTGGAACACCAACCAAGTAGGCTGCGTATCTCTGGATGGTGTCAAGCTTCTTGAGAGTTGTTAGAGTTAAACTCATCCAGGCAAGTGGGGAGTATGTCATCACACTCCTGACTTGTGCCTTGTAGATGGTGGACCGGCTCTGGGGAGTTAGGAGTTGAGTTTGCCAGTGCAGTGTTCCTAGCCTCTGACTGGCCTTGCAGCCATAGTGCTTAATGGCACTACCAATGACACCTTCTATCCCTTTCATGATGATTGAGAATAGTATGATTTAGTGCGATTTGGCCAGGTTGGATTTGCACTGCTTATTTTGTGGACCGGACCTGACCTGAGCAATTTTCCACAATGTTCCATTGTTGCGAGTGTTGCAGTGTAGTGGAACAGCTTGGCTTGGGGAACAGCTAGTTCTGGAACACAAATTTTCAACACTATATTTGCATAGCCTTTGATGTATCCAGTGCCTTCAGCCATTTCTTGGTCTAATTCTTATCCAACCCTGCATTTGGCAAAATATGAATTAACTTTTAGTTCTTGGCAATGGAACTCGTGTTTAAATGGCAAGACAATGGATTGTAATAATAGATCCCCCTTCTTCTCAGGGAGGAAGATGAAGCATCCCAGTGTGCAGTCCCCATCTCAACAGTCCTCATTAAACAAATTGTCCGTGGGCCACAAAGTGATTGTACTGTTGCCAAGTTACTTAGAGAGTTCTACAACATGGACACTGATGCTCGTAACCCTTGGCCCTACATAACAAAGGAACCTGACAGGTAATGCAGTAAAACCTTAAGCTTTCTGCTGTATGTGCAACCAGCAATTTGGAAATATGCTAAACATTTGGATACAAATGGATGCAATTAAAGTGTCTGTTACTTTGGTCTATTTAAGCTGAAATACCCTTTAATCAGGAAACACATAACTATTGCCAGATATGAGCAACCATACCTAATAATGTTCTGTTTCACTTTTATTCTCCTCCTTTATCAAATTCTTTGCATTTTCAGTGGATTAGTAAAGGTTCTTTTGAGGTAGGGGAGTTTAAATTTAACCTGTATGAACTTATTTCTGATTGATCTTAGTGTATCATTTGTATTCATGAAAATGTTTAATTTAGGGATGAAATCTAAACACTTAACAATGTTGGTTATAAAGTGACCATTATCTTTGCAAGTCTGTCATGATTATGTGAGAGTTATTTGACTCCAAGCTGACTTTGTAGAATTCCGAATCAAAGAGTTATATCAAATGCTAATCCACAGTTAAGAAGATAAATGTCATTTTTGCTAGGCCTGAGAAGATTGTATAGTAATACAAAAGACTTTGTTGGTAATCTTTATGTAATCATTTGCTGGCAGCTTTTTAAAAGCCAGAACAATTTTTAAGGATCTGCCACTTTTGACATGAAGAATCATGACAGCTTAAATACTTATTTCAAGCACGTAACTGCCAGCAAGGATAATGAAGAACTAATCTGTTTCTCTTAATGTGTGTTTGAACCAAGCAGCAAAAACAGCAGTGAGCTGCTTGCTCAGTGGGACAGTCCAATGCAAGTTAAACTATCTGCCTGGAAACCCTGCCTTAATACACTTCTTGTTGAACTACTACCTTGGGCCTTGTTTGTCAACGAATCCAAATGGGACCTCTGGCTCTTTGAAGGCGAGAAGATTGTTGTGCAGGTTCCTGCTGGGAAAGTAATTGTCCCTCCAAACTTTCAGGTACACATATTGATAATTTGTTTTCACACTCTTAGAAAGAAAATCTTTTCTATGTTTTGAAAGGATTGCCTTTTAGTTTCTCGACAAGTTTTGCAGTGTCCGTTATTCTTGTGAGGAGCTTGGCTGAGATACTAATAATAATTTGACCGAACATCCGCGTCAGACTGCACATTGAGAAGGTCAGCACCTGGGCTGTTAGCTGATCTAAATTATTGACCTTCCAAGTAGGATCTTTATTTATTTCTTCCATAGCAAGGCCAACATTTGCTGCATTATACTATAAGATATAGGAGCAGGCCATTTGGTCATTGGGTCAGCTCTGCCATTCAATCATGGCTGATTCATTTGTCAACCCCATTCTCCTGCTTTCTCCGCGTAACCCTTGATCCCCTTACTAAATAAGAACCTACCTATCTCTGTGTTAAATACACTCAATGACTTGGCTTCCACAAACTTCTGCAGAATGAGTTCCGCAGATTTACCACTTTCTGGCTGAAGAAATTCCTCCTTATCAAATTCTAAAGAGTTCACTCTGAGGCTGGACCCTCGGGTCCTTGTCTCTCCTGTAGTGGAAACATCTCCTCCACATCTCTTCTGTTCAGGCCTCTCACCATTCTGTTAGTTTCGATGAAATGACCCCCTCATCCTGCTAAACTCCGTCAAGTATGAACCCATAGTCCTTACCAGTCCTCATATGACAAATCCAGTTTTTTAATTTCCCTCATTCACCATCACCTTGAATACAACCCACTGGTTTGCTAGGCCATTGCAGGGGGAAAAAACCCAGCAAAACGGATATGCGGATAGTACTGGATCTCCAAATCAAGTTGGACCAGTCTGTCTCATTTGTAAGTTTGTCTGTTATTTCCTGTCAGGATTTCAGAGGAAGTGGTGTAGTGGTAATGTCACGAGAAGAGCAATTCAGAACCCCAAACTAATGTCCTAATGAAATGGGTTTGAATCCCCCCTCAAGACATTTGGTGAAATTGAATTCAATTGTAAAAGAGATAACACAGTGGAGGAGTACAGCAGGTCAGGCAGCATCAGAGGAGCAGGAAAGTTGACTTTTCGAGTGGGGACCCTTCTTCAGCATCAGCAGTTCTTACTATCTCAATTGTAAAAGATCTAGAATTACCAGCTGATCAAATAGCAACTGTTTAACTCTTGATTTGTCATAAAAACCCAGCTGGATCACTAATAGCCTTTAGGAAAGGAAATTTGCCACCCACACCTGGTCTTGCCTGCGCGTGAACGAGACCCACATCACTGCAATGTCATAAGACAATAAGATGTAGGAGCAGAAGTAGGCCATTCAGCTCATCATGTCTGCTCTGCTACTTAATGATATCCATATCCACAGAATCCATAGAATCCCTACGGTGTGGAAACAGGCCCTTCGGCCCAACAAATCCACACCGAACCTCAGAGCATCCCACCCAGACCCACCCCACTACAACCCACCTAATCTATACATCCCTGAACACTATAGGCAATTTAGCATGGCCAATCCACATAGCATGCACATCTTTGGACTGTGGGAGGAAACCGGAACACCCAGAGGAAACCCACGCGACACTGGGAGAGTGTGCAAACTTCATACAGACAGTCGCCAAGGGTGGAATCGAATCCAGGTCCCTGGCGCTGTGAGGCAGCAGTGCTAACCACTGAGCCACCGTGCTGCCCCAGTATCGATACTGATATGCTAATCTTCAGCTCTACTTTCCTGCCTTTTCAGAATTAGAATTCAATTTTATTGTCATGTGTACTCCAGCATAGGGATATACCCTATAACCCACGATTCCCTTTCTGATTAAAAATGTCTATCTCAGCCTTGAACATATTCAAAAACCCAGTCTCAACTGCTCTTTACCATGAAGAATTCCATAGATTCATTACCTCTGAGAGAAGAAATTCCTCATCTCTGTTTTAATTGGGTGACTCTTATTCTGAGATTATACCCTTTAGTCCTATACTGTCCTACAGCCTCTCCACATCTATCCTGTCAAGTCCCTGAAGAATCTTGTATGTTTCAATAAAGTCTCCTCTCATTCTTCTAAATCCCTACGGGTACATGCCCAATCTACTCAGCCTCCCCTCATAATAGGCTCCCTCATACTCGAGATCAGCCTGGTGAACCTTGTCTCGACCACCTCCAATGCCAGTATTTCTTTCTTCAGATAAGGGTCAAAACTGTTTACGGTATTCCAGCTGTGGGTTGACTAGTGCCTTCTATAGTTTTAGGAAGACTTCCATATCATTATACTCCATTCCCTTTCAAATAAAGGTCAACACTCCATTTGCCTTCCTTATTACCTGCTGAACTTGAATGCTACTATTTTGTGATTTATGCACAAGGATGCTGATTATGAATTGCGTTCTGGCAAATAGGAATGGGCAATAAATGCTGGCCCAGCCTGTAATGCCCACATCCCAAAGACAAATAATTTTTTTAAAAAGTTATGATTTAGTCACCTTACTGTTGATGTAGAGGCATATACAGGTCAGACTGAACTAAGAGGGTACATTTCCCATCCAGATGAAATAAGCAAACCAATCTTCCCTCAACAAAACCACCGCGACTATCCCTGATTAATCTAGGTCTTTCCAAGTAACGGTTAATCCTATCTCTCAATATTGATTCCAGTAATTTATCTATTGATCAGAGTGACCAGCCTATCAATTTATTAAACTTCGTTTCTGAATAGCTTGACTCTGTTTTTAAGCCTCATTCTGGACTCCCAAGTCAATGAAAACAGTTTAGATCTACCTTATTAGCTCCTGTTAGTATGTTGAAAACAGCAATCAGAAGTGCTCTTTCAGGCAGTGCATTCCAGAATGTAAAAACTTATTGCATTAAAAAAAAAGTTTCAAGGGAGCAAGTTGTCTGCAGTGTACCCGAGACTTGGAAATTATATTTGGCCTGAAAAAAGAGAGGAAAATCATTTTTAAACAGTATTGACAACTTTAATTAGGTTAAAATGCTGGCTTATTAACTTAGAAAAGAAAACAACAAAATGCCACCTGAAAATAGTGTAAAATGAACAGCGCTGTAATTGTTATTAACCATTCATTTTAGGAGCCTTTTCAGATCGGTATCTACTGGGCCAGCACAAACACTGTACACAAATCCACAGCAGTACGACTTGTGCATGATGTCACATCCCCGAAGTGGAAGGATTATCCCGTCACTGATGTCATTACACTGGATGAGGATGGGATTGCTGATGCAGATGTAAAACTTGGAACCTTTCCCGATCATCAGAAGGTCTGTTTGCGACCACTGAACCCTTTCCTTGCCTCTGGGGGAATGTTTGAAACAGTCTTGGCAGTTTTCTGTGGGGCATTAGCATGCTATCTAAAACCATAAGCAAAAACTCCCTTTCCTCACACCAAAGAAGGAAAACTTGGTCTGGATTCTGCACTTTTTCCTTGCCAGCTCTTACTTTTGCTTGTGTTGCTAAGCGGGTCTGGGTGCATGATCTACCAGAAAACACTGCATCAAAAGCACTTCACAAATCCGAAGTGGAAAACTGAACGTGCTCGAGAAACTCCGCAGATTGAGTTGCATCTTCTTCCAAAGAAGTGTTGCGCTGACTCGAAATGGTAACTCCGTTTTTCTCCACAGATGCTGCCAGACTTACTGAGTTTCTCCAGCACTTTATGGTTTGCCCTGGAGCATGCTGCTCTTCTGATATTGGCAGATTGTTGGATTTTGGTTGTCTGTAGATACTTCCTTATTTCCTGTGTACATTCTTGAGAATATCAGAACAGGAGTAAGCCAATTAGCCCCTCAAACCTGTCTTGCCATTCAATTAGAGCAGGGCTGTTCTGTATCTTAATCCATCAACCTGCCTTGATTCTTTCATCTGTAATATCCTTGCCTGATAAAACTCATTTGCTTTGAAATTTTCGTTTGATTGGCAGTCAATTTAGGCCAATACTTCCAGATCTCTCTGTGTGAAAAACTGCTGCCTCCCCCTGGCTTCAACCCTGAATGACCCAATTCTAATTTTGAAGTCACGCAGCTTTGTTTGTGCTCCCCTGTGGAAGGAAATTGTTTTTCTCTCGTTGTACCTTTTAACCATCCTAATTACCTCAATTAGCTTGCCCCTTAATCTTCTACCCTCAAGAAACACAGGTCTAGTCTATGTAGCCTATCCTCAGAATTTAAACAGTTTAACTCCCAGTATCATTGTGGTGGCTGCATCTTCTCCAAAGCCAATATATCCTTTCTGACGAGCCAAGACTGTATGCAGTAAGTCAAATGAAGTCTATTTCGAGCTCCATGCAGCTGGAGCTTAACTTACACCCCCTTGAGTTAATACCCAGTAGCCTTTTAAATTACTTTTTGTTCCCGTCCACTAATGCTGGGCGATTTTTAACAACTCACCAAATCTCTTTATACCACCTTCCTCATCTGACATCTCTACTACCCTAGTACTGCAAGAGCAGTACATATATGTTGGAAATCTACCACCTACAAGTTCCCCTCCAAGCCACTTGCCATCCTGACTTGGAAATAGATCAAAATCCTGGAACTCCCTCCCTAATGGCACTGAAAGTGTCCTATTTCCCAAGGACTGCAGTAGCTCCAGAAGGCTAGCTCATGACCACCTTCTCCAGAGCAATTAAGGATGGACAACAAATGCTCACTCAGTCAACGAGGTCCATATCCCATGAACAAATTTAGAAAAGAAAGCTGCCAACTATTAACGGGAGTTATTGAGATATTTCCTTTCTTATGGGGCAAATGCCATGGGAACCTCAGTACTAAGGTCACTGGGAAGACAAGGAGTGTGTATTAGTTTCTAATTTTTTTTATTACAAAGCTACTTACCTGCATCAGAATAAGGTCTTGCTTTGAGAGTAGTTAATTGGCTGTGATGTGTTTTGGAACGTTGTGGGTATGGATAGGACGTGGTGTAAATGCAATTTCTTTTTGTTTCTATTTTATTGATTTGTTCACTGTGCTTCTGCAGCTGTGTCAGTTTTGTATATCTTCAGTGGTGCGACATGGGATTCAGATCCTGCTGATTGAAGACAAGACCGTTATAACAAACGCCACGGCTCACAAAATCTACTATCGCCCTATGCTCGTCTTCCCAGAACGAACAACACGAAAGGAGGTACAAGATGCAGAAATTGCTGTCTATTAGTGAGCTAAATCTATGGCACTAACATACATGTATATTTAATCCAGGTTCTGAATGTATGATAAAAGTCACTATAATTTGTAGAGCTTTGAACATTTTGATTGGTAAATTAACATTTTGTCTTGTTTCGTGTTTCCTTCCTTTTGAATCAGCTAAGTAATGTGTCTATCACTATGATAGAGAATTCCACATTTTAACCATTCTTTGGAAAAGGAAGTTCTTCTAAGTTCTGTGCTGAATTTTTTTTAGTGATTATAGCTTATCATTAACTTGATTACATTTTTTGAAAAGGTAATGAAAAGGATGTGATCTATATGGGCTTCAATAAAGCATTCAATAAGGTTCCTCATAGTAGACTGGTTACCAAGGTTAGATCACATGGAATACAGGGAGAACTAGTCATTTGCATACAGAACTGGCTTGAAGGTGGAAGACCGAGGGTGGTGGTGGGGAGTTGCTTTTCAGACTGTGACCAGCAGTGTACCACAAGGATTGGTGCTGGGTCTACAGCATTACATTGTTTATATAAATGATTTGGATGTGAACATAGGAGGTGTGGGTAATAAGTTTGCAGGTGACGTCAAAATTGGAGGTGTAGTGGACAGCGAAGAAGGTTACCTCAGAGTACAACGGGATCTTGATCAGAGATAACAAGGTGTAGAGCTGGATGAACACAGCAGGCCAAGCAGCATCAGAGGAGCAGGAAGGCTGACGTTTCGGGCCTAGACCCTTCTTCAGATGGCCAATGGGCCGAGGAGTGGCATATGGCGTTTAATGTAGATAAATGTGAGGTGCTGCATTTTGGAAAGTCAAATCAGGGCCGAACATAGGCACTTGATGGTAAGGCTGGGGAGTTTTGCTGAATAAAGAGACCTTGGAGTGCAAGTTCATATTTCCTTGAAAGTGGAGTTACAGGTTGACAGGATAGTGAAGAAGGCGTTTGTTATGCTTGCCTTTATTGGTCAGTACATTGAATATGAATTGGGAGGTCATGTTACAGCTGTACACAACATTGGTTCAGCCACTTTTCAAGTACTGTGTGCAATTCTGGTCTCCCTACTATAGGAAGGATGTTGTGGAGCTTGGAAGGGGTCAGAACAGATTTACAAGGATTTTTTAAAAATTATTCAGTTGTGGGATGTGGGCATTGCTGGCTGGCCAGCATTTATTGCCTGTCCCTTGTTGCCCTTGACAAACTAGTTGTGAGCTGCCTTCTTGAACTGCTGCAGTCACCAGCTGCAGGTTGACCCACAATGCTATTAGGGAGGGAATTCCAGGATTTTGACCCAGTGACAGTGAAGGAACGGCGATATATTTCCAAGTCAGGATGGTGAGTGGCTTGGAGGGGAACTTGAAGGTTGTGGTGTTCCCATGTATCTGCTGCCCTTGTCCTTCTAGATTGAAGTGGTCATGGGTTTGGAAGGTGCTGCCTGAGGATCTTTGGTGAATTTCAGCAATACATCTTGTAGATAGTACACACTGCTGCTACTGAGCGTTGGTGGTGGAGGGAGTGGGTGCTTGTGGATGTAGTGCCAATCAAGCGGGCTGCTTTGTCCTGGATGGTGTCAAGCTTCTTGAGTTGCCAGGGTTTGAGGGTTTGAGCTATTGGGGAAGGCTGAATAGGCTGGGGCTATTTTCCCTGGAGCAGCAGAGGCTGAGGGATGACCTTATACAGGTTTATAAAATCATGAGAGTCATGGATAGGGTGAATAGATAAGGTCTTTTCCCCAAGGTGGGGGAGTCCAAGACTAGCGGGCATAGGTTTAAGGTGAGAGGGGAAAGATTTAAAAGAGACCTAAGGGTCAACTTTTTCATACAGAGGATTGTACGTGTATGGATTTGAGTTGCCAGAGGAAATGGTGGAGGCTGGTACAATTGCAACATTTAAAAGGCATCTAGATGGGTATGTGAATACGAAGGATTTAGAGAGTTATGTGCCAAATGGTGGCAAAAGGGACAAGATATATTTAGGCTATCTGATCAGCATAGACAAGTTGGACTGAAGGCTCTGTTCCCCGGCTCTACATCTCTATGACTCTATCTTATATTTATGACCCCTGCTTCTGGTCTCACCCTTAAGTTGAAATAATCGGGAGTATCTACCTGTTCTACATTCAGTCTGAAGGTGACAAAGGTGGGAGGAGAAAACCCAGTCCCTGTAAAAATAGAAAAAGCTGCTGGACCTTCCAGCAAATAGGTACCTAACTGACAGCAGTTAGGTTTTCTACCAGTATGAGGGCCTCGACTGAGAAAGGACTAGCCACAAAGAGTCACTGGCCAATAAGAGGCCACAGCAGCATCATGGAGAAGGCTTGGTTACTGCCAGTACAACCCCCACAACTCCCAGAAAGGAGAATGACCATGGAAAAGATGGGGGTCTCCTGAGGCAGGGAGAGGGAAGCCTTGGAGATGAAGGCAAGGGCAGGGGATGGCTCTCAGTGGCCATCTCTAAGCCTATGTCCAGTCCATCGACAGTGTACAGATTTTCTTACTTGCATCTGCTATTCTGTACCCTTTCTTAATTATGAAGAGCTGTGTGAGGGCACCCCTCAGTCTTCTCTTTTCTAATTGAATGACAGAGCAGACCTGAGTAGCTGAAAACCTACCTCTCTTCCATTGTCACCTTTAATCTGGATTTGACTAAGTAAGCCAGTGGAGTGGGTACAGGAAAAAGGCATGAATTACCAGATTACAGCAAAGTATGACATGAAATCAAGTGATCACATGAAACTGTTGCAGGGGAGTGTTCACTTCTCAGTGACAAAAGTTGAGAGGCCGGGAACTGAAGTTTATAGTTTCAGGACAAAATTCTATTTGTTCTGGAATGGAGCCTCCAATATAGAAGGTTACAGATGTGACCCTGCTGTCTAGAAAAGGAAGAAGAGAAAACGGTTACTTACAGACCTGTTAACCTGACATCTGTAGTAGTGAAGACACAAGAGTATTATCAAGGCTGTGATAATAAGATATTTCAAAAATAATTGTCTGTTAGTCAGAGTCGAGATGGATTTAGGAAGGGGGAATCGTGTTTACCTGACCTGTTTGGAAGATGTTCCGAGCAGAGTTGATAAGAGGGAAACAGTGGATGTAGTGTATTTGGATTTTCAGAAGACTTTTGATAAAGTTTCACACAGAAAGTTAGTCAACAAAATTGAAGTGCATGGGAACCCAATCCTCAGTCATATGTCTCAAACTGGCAATCGACATGCCCTGTACTGCAATAAATTACAGGTAGCATTCCCAACACATATTGTTTAGCTGACACATCTTAGACCAATTTTCAGCTGTTTAAAGATATGGCCATAACTAATTATTACATGAATTCCTTCCAAATTTGACCCACAACTGTCTCATAATGGCCTTCAATGTAACTTCAGTAACTTGTGAAGTCTTTAACAGATTTACACCTCGTTTCAATATATAGCTCTTTGTATTATAACTATTTGAAGAGTACTTGCATTGCAATTTGAGATGACTGACTTTGTTATTATTAATTTTTGGTGACCACTCAGTACCTCAAGTTGGGTTGAATACATTTTCACTAGATTTGGCAAGTTGGCAGCTGTGGTCTTGTCTAGTTCCCCTGAAGGGAGTAATATGGCCCCTTCCATCCTTGTTAACTGTCAACAGATGACATGCTCGCTGAAGACGTCTATATACATTTCAAAACAAATAAGAAATTCCAATCGCAGCCACTTTCCAGCTGGACAGTTGTTCAGAATTGAAGAAAAGCAAAGTACAGGTCGCACACACAGAACAATTCATATCATTTAAGTTGCAAAGCAGTGAGGAGTATGGCAGCTACAAACTTTTTGCAGCTCCTATCTTAGAACGTAAGAACTAGGAGCAGGAGTAGGCCATCTGGCCCCTCGAGCCTGCCCCACCATTTAGTAAGATCATGGCTGATCTTTTTGAGACTCAGCTCCACTTACCCGCCCACTCACCATAACCCTTAACTCCTTTACTGTTCAAAAATTTATCTAGCCTTGCCTTAAACACATGCAGTGATGTAGCTTCAACCGCTTCACTGGGCAGGGAATTCCACATATTTACAACCCTTTGGGTGAAGAAGTTCCTCCTGGCCTCAGTCCTACATCTGCTTCCCTTTATTTTGAGGCTATGCCTTCCAGTCAGTGATTAGCAGGTTTTCCCTGGACCGGAGCTAGTGGGAAGCATTTTCTCTTATTCATTCGTAGATGTGGGTGTCACTGGCTGGCCAGCATTTATTGCCCATTCCCAGTTGCCATTACGAAGGTGGCACTAGTGATCTGCCTGCATAAACTGCTTTAGTCAATGTGTTGTAGATAGTCTCTGAATGGCGTTATGGATGGAATTCTAGGATTTTGACCCAGCTGAAGGAACAGCGAAATATTTCCAAGTCAGGATGCTGAGTGCTTGGAGAGGAACCTGCAGGGTGTGGTGTTCCCACGTAACTGCTGCCCTTGTCCTTCTAGATGTAAGTGATCGTGGGTTTGCCTGAGGGACTTTCGTGAATTTCTGCATGGCGTCTTGTAGATAGTACACACTGCTGCTACTGAGGTGGTAGAGGGAGTTGACAATAGTTTTCTTTTCCCCAGAAAAAGGGAATGTTACTGCACTCTGTTACTCCATGTGCCAGTGCAGATTCCCCAGAAAAGGGGGATGTTACTGCACTCTGTTACTCCATGTACCAGTGCAGATCCCATGCACATTGGCTGCTGCATTCATGTGACACTGATAAAACACGTGCAAATTTTCTTCAGTATTTTTTTCTGGTCCTTTCTGCCTCAACACCATAATTCTCAGAAATGGGAGCAAGTATAAAAGTACATGGGATTTGCAGGACATAATCAAGCCATTCTGCCCAACTGTTCCATATCGATATTTGCACACTATTCGGGCCACCTCTCACCCTGTCTAATTTGATTCTACACCAGAGAGAATCATATACCATTCTGAGAAACTAAAGCTTCACCCCTACCTATCTCTGAAACCTCTTGTGATTTTAAGGACATCTCTAATAGGTCAGCTCTCACTTCTGTCTATCCAAGAGAATACAGAGACCTACACTGTTCATCCTCACCTGAAAGCTGACAGAACCTCCAAATTACAACCACCTCAGATACCTGTGTTCATCTAACGATGGCCTCTTGAACATAGCACAGATTTCTGAAATTACCTCCTTAAAATTCTCCACCTCAATCTAGTTCTCTCTCTCCTTTAAGACATTCCTTAAAAACTTGCCTCTTTGACAAAACGTTTGGTTATTTCCAGGTTATCTCCTGATGTAGTTCATTGGCAATTTTTTTTGTTTGACAACACTTGTGATTGACATGAGTCACCTTACGATGTAAAAGGTGTTATTTAAATGCAGCTGTTGTTGTCGTTGGTGAACTAATATTTTGCAGTGGGGAGAGAGAAATTGGTGCAGGAGCAGTCCATACAACTCTGAGGCCTGTTCTGAAAATGAGGTGGAGGTGCTACCTTGCTGCTGCACTGCTATTATGATGTGGCAAAGGCCTTGCTTAGCCATAGGACAGAGAGTTCCTTCCCCAGAATGAGTAAAACAGCGAGTCCAAAGAGAGGGAAAACTTAAAATGGGGATACTTCTCTTAATCAAAACATTTCCAAAAGCATGTTAGCATATTTTTCTCCTTTATCACATTTTGTTCAAAGGCCCCTGTGCTTCGTTTTTCTGTATGAAGTGATTTTAAGCTCTTGGAGTGGTATCTTTTGGCTGAATCTTGCATCAAATTAACTGCAGCGGTAGAAGAATTCAGCTCACACCAAGGGCAACTAGGGATGGGCAATAAGTGCTGGCCCAACCGGTAAAGCCCACATTTCCTGAATGAATTGAAACAAAACACATTGCCAGCCTCCGCCACCATCTCCCCACGCCCTCCAAGTAATCTTAGCAACTACAGAGTCAGGGGACGTCAACTGAGAGGAAAACCAACTGTCTCAAAGACATTGAATGGCCCATTGCCCTCAGGAGCAGAAGTTCTGCCTCAGAGAGCTCTCTCTACTTTAGAAGGGAACCTTGCAACTTGGGCCCAGAGTTTAAGAATGGGTCCAGTAGGGATTAAGAGGCAAATGGGATTGAGAGCTGGGTATTGGGGGAAAACCCAAGATTGGGGCAAGATGTAAACCTTTGGGGTCTGTCTTTCGTAGGCTGATGGGTTCCCATTCCTCAAACATTTTTGCTACACCTCAAGGGTACGTCATTGTTTGTAAATGAGTTTAGAAATGGCCATGCAGGCCACTATATTAGATGCATGTCTTTCCTATGTTAATGTGGCTGAACTTTATACATGTTTTCCAGCAGGTCCACGTGGTGGAGAGCTCTGTGTTTAGCCTCAGTCCAGCAAGAGCCCACTCTCCGGCTATGCCAAGCTCCATTCCTTGCTGGGACCTCCTCGCTGGCGGAAGTCAAGCAGATTTCACTGCCCCATTGCCCCAGAAGTATCTGCTGCTCGGCTACTCTCCGCACGTTGGCATAAACAGCTGTCACGACTGGAGTCTGCCAACTATAATTAGGCAGGATTTTCCGAGGCAAAGTGTGGCAGTGCCTCTTGGGGATTCCGGTGAAAGTGGATTTTGTTCCAGGTACAGTGAGACCAATTTTGATTTAGGGAAAAAAAATCTCTTTTTGACATACCCTGTCGTGCGTAACTATTTAACTTCAACATTGATATTTCAAGTAACTAACCAACACACACTGTAGGGACTTGTTGGAGGGAATTCCTATTTGAAGACCGAAATTCAGTAATCCTCTCTTTTATTTCTGAAGCAAGATAGAACTTTGCCTTTTTTGCAACTAATCATTCTTGATTCTATCCCTCAGAATTGCAAATTTCCCTTCACAGTTCATGTACTAAAATCTGGCAAGTATGTCAAATCGTTTATGGAATTGATCTGCAACGTCGTGTTCAATTGCAGTGGATTCATCACTGTCACTGTGTGTTTCTCCTACTTGCAATCTGAAAGCCTTGTTGAAACAATAAGCATTGTCAAACCTTATTATTATCAAACAGTGAGAACTTTCATCTAGTTCATGTTGGGTATTCTCTGAGAACGGCTAGAATTTGCAGAAACACCAGCCGGAACTGATCGTTGCTTTTGAGACAAAGTGGACCTGAAAGTGGGACATAATTTCTCTCAAGGACTGGTCAGTTATGGAATAATCCCCTCACTACCTACACCACTCTCGATGAGTCTTAATTGCAATTCTTCTCAGAGTTAAATGAATGATGAAACATAGTTTGGTGTCAGGTTGTTTGAGCTTGTTTGCCTTCATTCTGCGGTGAGTGGTTCCCTTCGGTGCTAGGACCTTAACTGAGTTCTTACTGTCATATTTTTTAGTTTCTGTTTCAATTCCCCTGTTTGGGTGTGTTTATGAACACGTGCAAACAGATCTCTGGACCCCTCCTATTTGTGGTACATGTACCTTTTTTCATGAGATGATACAGGAGAATGATGGCGGTTATAGATTTTTCATTTGGCTCATTCACACTCACTGTAGACGGCCTTCTCCTTTCCTCTGATGTCTCTTCTGTCATTCTTTAATCTTCCCCTCCCCCACCTCCCCGTTATTGTCGCCCTCAATATTCCTGCTGCTTCTCCCCCCCAATTTCACTCCCATCAAGATTCCCCATGCCAAACCTTAACATTACAACACTCCTTATTCAATTCCCTTCTTCGTTTGCCCCTTCCCACCTCATGTATTCACGTGTTGAATTATCCTTCCAGACATATGGCTCCTGGCCTATCTTTTCTTCCTTGCCCCTATCACTGTAATTGTCCCCTCTGTATCCTTATCTCCTCCCCCCATTTCCCAGGATGCTGCCAGTGCCCCTGTCACCCCCACCCTTTACATTCCATTCCCTTCTGTTCTTTTCTACCTAGCCCACCTTTATCTGAATCTTTTGTGTTCAGCTTCACTTGTCTGTCTCAGTCAGGTTTGCTGCTGTCAGACATTGTGGCTGCATCACTTGGGCAGGCTTGTTGACCAAGCCAGGCTTCATGCCTTACATTGTAAGTCTTTAACAACTACAAGAAAGGCATCTTATGACTGAGACTTCTTATGAGCTAGTTGACCCTGTCAGTCTTCATCCACAGAGTAATAAAGCTGTGCAGCATGGAAACAGACCCTTCAGCCCAACTCATCTATGCCGACCAGATATTCTAAATTAATCTAGTCCCGTATTCCACAATTTGGCCCGTATCCCTCTAAACCCCTCACACCCCGGTAATGATCTCCTATAACCTCTTCCATCAGGCAGATGATACAGAAGCCTGAACACACGCATGAGCAGGTTCAGGATAGCTGCTTCCCGACTGTTGTCATATTGATGAACGGACTCTCTAGCCTCAAATAATGCTAACGTTGATCTCCCCTGGCGCACGCCCTGTGCAATGTAACCTGTATGCCTCTGTCTAAGTCTTTTTGATCTGTACATCCTTTACTTACTATGATCTGCCTGTACCACTCGTAAACAAAGCTTTTCACTGTATTTCTATAAACTTGACAATAAATCAATCAATCAATCAATCATGTACCCATGCAGATGCCTTTTAGCTCTTGTAATTGTACCAGCCTCCATCACTTCCTCTGGCAGCTTATTCCATACAGGCACCACCCACTGCATGGAAAAATAGCCCATTAGGTCTGTTTTATACATTTCCCCTCTCACCTTAAACCCATGCCCTCTAGTTTTGAACTCCCCTGCCCTGGGTAAAAGTTCTTGGTTATTCACCCTATCCATGCTCCTCATGATTATATAAACCTGTATAAGGTCACCTCTTAGCCTCTGTCACTCCAGGGAAAATAACCCCAGGCTATTCAGCCTCTCCCTATAGCTCAAACCCTCCAACCGTGGCAACACCCTTCTAAATGTTTTCTGTGCTCTTCCAAGTTTAACAACATCATTCCTATAGCAGGGAGAGCAGAATTGAACACCGTATTCCTTGTATTGTATCCAGTTGTACAAAAAAAACTGATTTTGAAGGAGATAACAAGGTGTAGAGCTGGATGAACACAGCAGGCCAAGCAGCATCAGGAGCGGGAAGGCTGACGTTTCGGGCCTAGACCCTTCCTCAGAAGTTCCTACTATCTCTGATTTTGAAGGAGCCATGTGACTGTACGCTTGTACTACCCCGAGCCTGGGGCAAGATGTCTGCCCTGCCAGAAACCAGCCTTATACGTACTTCATAAAAACCAAAAGAACTGCAGATGCTGCAAATCAGGAACAAAAACAGAAGTTGCTGGAAAAGCTCAGCAGGTCTGGCAGCATCTGTGAAGGAGAAAACAGAGTTAACGTTTTGGGTCCGGTGACCCTTCCTCAGAACCGGACCTGAAATGTTAACTCTGTTTTCTCCTTCACAGATGCTGCCAGAACTGCTGAGCTTTTCCTGCAACTTCTGTTGTTGTTCCTTATACGTACTTCGTTGAGTTTGTGAACACACATCTTTCCTGTTTTTGCTGGACAAGATTGTGCCTGTGAGTGTAATTCCAGCAGGCTGAGGGCATCGATGAGTATTTGTGACAGTCTAATAAATGAGGTTTTTGACCTGCCTGAAAGGTTCTGAGAACCTGATAACGAAACTCACATCAGGAAACTGAAGATGTGTCTCCTCCTCAATTAGGTTCTGTCCCCAGCCCTTCCAGACTGGCCCAGAAGATTCCGCCCAGAGAACCGTACTGCACAGGAGCAGGCTATTTAGTCCATCATGCCTGTGTTGGGTCTTTTGAAAAAGCTATCCAATTATTTCCACTCCCACCAATCTTTCCCCTTTGTCCCGCAGTTTATTTGTTTTCAAGCAAATCACCCATCAGATAATAGTGACTGCACTTTATAAGAGTAAACAATTGCAAACCGCTTCATGATGCTGCTACAACATGGTGGTCGATATAAATTGGGGGATCACATTCATTATTTGAAATGGAATAATTGTTTTTAACACAGGCAAAGGGCGCCACCATTAGAAATGGCTGCAAGCATTTGCATCATTGACGTATAACACTGGCATAGAGTTGTTCTTTATTTTCAACAAATGTAGGTGAGAGTTGAAATAATAGTTCAAACTATTTTATGTAGCGCACCCCTGTACCTCCCCATGATTACTAATGAAAATCAATGAAAGGCATTCTCACTGTCTGTATACATGCACTCGTTCCCTTTGCTTTACATCCTGGGTTCTGTGTCGATGATGTAGCCAGACATGAAACAATATCAAGGCGCAAGCTGCATCTTAACTGAAAACATTTATGAATACAGCCAAGCTTTTGACATATCTTAATTTGTACACTCTGCTTCAAGCAAGTATTTCTCATCAACTGGTAGACTTCCTGCGGTGCTCCACCTAGTGGTGGCAGACTAATTTTATTTGTATTGGAATTTGCAGAAAGATCAAGCAACAGTTTCATCCTCAGTCCTCTTGTACTTGTTTTAAAATTTGTGGCTTCCGTGAATTAACCTGCATTTGCATTGCCATTTGTCATTTTATAAAAAAGATACAGATGGTGAAGCAAGTGCATAAAAGATGCACAAAGATGATAACCAGTGATCAGGCCAGTAGCTGTCAGGTGAGGACGAACAGTCTGGATCTCTCTATTCTCTTGGATAGGGTAGAGTGAGAACTGACATCATAGAGGTCCTTAAAATCACAGGAGGTTTTGATTGAATGGACAAAGAGAGAGAGAGAGCAAATTTGCCCTAGAGGGGAAGATCAAAACTAATGTAGTCAACAAGAAATTCCAATAGAGTATTTACCCGGAGAGTATGAGAATGTGGATCTCCATATATCTGGGAGTTGATGAAGCAAAGAGTATGTGCATTTAAGGGGAAGGTAGATAAGCACTTGAGGGAGAAGGAGATCTGTTGATAGAGTTGGATGAAAGGAAAGATGGAATGAAACTTGAGCAGAGCGTAAACGCCATCAGGGACTGCTTGAGCCAAATGGTTTGTTCCTGTGCTCTACATCCAATGTAATCCACTGTAAAACTTGGCTTGATCTGTATAAATGAGCATGTTACAGGGTGAACAATATATCCTTATATCATTGGAGTAGACACTGTAAATAATATGGGTTGGCTCTCTATCCTCCTGCTCCCTTGATTGCGATGAAAAACATGAGGGTAATTTATCAATCTGAACTCACAGAAGGAATCATAAATAGAAGCACCACAGTCAACTACACTACTTAACTTCACAGTTTTAAACCTCTAAAACGTAAAACTGCTTAGACTTTAGCTCTCTTCAGTAATCTCTGGACATGTCCCATGATGAAAATTCATAGAGACTCATAGAAAATATGAGCAGGTTATATGCCATTAGCCCATTAAGCTCATTCTGCCATTCGACATGATCATAGTTGATTCTCAATCACAGCACTATACTCTTGATCTCTCTTGATACCTATGACAATTTTAGAAATCAATGTATGTTTTTCTTAGACATATTTGATGACTTGGCTTCCACCGTCTTCTCTGGTAGAGGATTCCACAAGTTCACCACCCAGTCAGAACAGATATTTCCCATCTCAGTGTAAAGTGGCCTCCTCCCCTGCACCAGCCAGTGGAAGCATCATCCCTGTGCCTGATATCT